ATTATCTAACGTGGAAAGACGCACGTATATCGTAGCTCGCTCGTGTCCAACGTTAAAATATTGAGACCTTCTGTGCTTGAAATACAACGACGCAAGTAACCTAGAGATATGATAACTCGAAATGTACGCAGACGCGATAGAAAGATCAAGGAATTTCACAATATCGTCTTGTGATGTTTACGCGAATTTATCTGTTCGTTATCGTTTACATGAAATTGTCGAGTCATGCGAAGTTAGCGAGCAAACTTAAAGAAATTAGTTACACGGTGGATAATTTCATCGAACGACTTCAATTCGACGAGAAATTCGCGTAAAAGTAACGCGCGGAATGTCGCTTGCACCGGCGAAAAGTGAAACTGATGATGATAGAAAGGTTGACAGAAAACTTCACATCATACTTTCCATATTTTCACGTCGATCACTGAAATTGAAGTTACTCAGCGCGCCAACCTATCGATAAACTCTCCCTCTGTCTCTCTGTTCTCTTCCGTTCCGATCCTCTCCTCCCACGTTTGTTACGAGAAAATAAAAAACCTCGAACAAACGAATGCGTCAGAACAATAACGAAAACAATTCATCACAATAATACCGTTTCCAGATACTATCGATGTTATTTTATCGAAGTGCTCATCCACTAGGAACCGTGCTGCCATGAATCATTGGAATACCTCGCGGACAAATATTCCCTTCTTCATCGTGGCTCTATTGTTGGCTCGAAAACCAGCGTATCGAGGCATTATTTTCATCCGCGAACGTTCTCGTTCGTCGTTGCGCATTCAAAACCTTCTATCTAACTGTTATCTTCTGCCAAGAAGACGTTGCATGTATTCGTACTTTTGCTCCGTCTTCTAGCAACCTGTTTTCACCGAATTGCGAAATTACGATCGAATCATATCGTGGAAAATTATATCGTTGTCGTATTTTTCTGGTTTCAGGCAAATTACACGAGTCACCCCCACCGAGCGCGCTGGGCCTGGCTTCAAGTGGCTCGATTTTCTCACAGCAGTTACGAAGACTATTTCACCCATTTCCAATATTTACCTTCCACGGTTGAAAGGTTGATCGTAATTCTGCTGTGAGAAAATCCGTCCCGAAGACGGTGAAGCGAGCCACTTGAAGCCAGGCCCAGAGCGCTCGGTGGGGGTGACTCGCCCCTTTGGGTCTCTCCCTGGGCCTGTTCGCGTAGGGGTGGACAGGGATCGGCAGGACGACGCGTCCTCGCTCTTCACGAGACCGTTGAACATATAGTTTTTGTATAAAGTATACTATTGCGAAAACGTAGAAACGTTTAATTAATTTTACGCCCACCCTGCTCCGAGTCAGAGTATTTCTAGCACTGCTAATATTCTATTTATTATTCGGCTCAGAAGAAACGGAAATGCTCTATCGAACTGTTTCTGGACACCCAGTGTGCAGTGCTTGACTCGAAGACGAACGCCACCAGACACGTCTTTGTCTAAAAGAACGCCGAGACATTTTTGTCCTCGCTCGATTATTTCTACAGGGTGTTCTTCGGAATAATCCAACAGTAAACACAGTTGGATAGTTTAGCCTGTGACGAATTCCTCCGTGTCAGAAACGTCGTTGCGTTCCGGTTGATTTATCACCTGAAGAATTCGCGACAAGGTTTCCACGGGTTCGGGAAGTCATTATTCACCGTGGGATCGTTGCATCTGTGGTGAACATCGTGTAATTCCTCAGGAACGAGACAGATTCTCGAAGCGTCAGGTGGTTCCGAAACCGCACCTGATCGATAGAAACGTGGTTTAATGACAAGGGGTGCTGGTACCGTCGACGACTCGACACGGCGGCCAATATCCGTCTTACATGAAGACGATCGTACGTGGCCTAAGGGTAATTGATGCAGTTTGTCATCAGCATGGGAAAATCAGCGTTTTCCACCGTTTCACGCTAGAAATAACCAACGTGAAGAAAGAAAGAGAACGATCTATCTGTGTGTGTTTGTGTGTCACACACTCTACTACGGTCGATCTTGCATTCTTTTCACGTACGTAAAATATTCGCAACGTGTCGCGTAAAAGTTCACCACCGGAGCCACGGCAAAGTTTTCCGCGAAACTAGATTCGTTCGACGTTACGGAGTTACGGGCTGCTCTCGGGTTCTTATATTTCTCCGGTATACAGCAGTTTGAAAGTTAACGCGAAACACAACAGGGTGGGCGTAATTGCAAACAAATTCGTGCACGAGTTTCCCTAACGGTTGGTGAAAAGTTCTTTTTCGGGAAGAGAGAGAGAGAGAGAGAGAAAGAGCAAGACTCGGAGAAGAAAAAAAATTGCAGGATTTATAAACGAACTTGGCCAGGTATTGGTTATAAGCTCATTAGCGACGAACAGAGAGGCTCTGACAGTGATAAATATGCATGGGGAAAGATGCGAGATTTTGGAATTAAGATTCGCAAAAAAAAGGGGAAAGGAAAAGAGACGATCTTCAACGGGAAGTAATTTCACCTTGATAGAGGTAGAGGAGAGAGAGAGAGAGAGAGAAAAAGGAAAGAAAAGAAAAGTACTCCCCTTCTATCCGTGGAAGTAGTTACCGCTAAAGTGGCGTACTTTAGATATTCCTCGCACGTTTTTAAAGTGTCCCGTGTCAAAGAGTTCGCAGAAACTCTTCCGGGGAGGCAGCACGAATCGTCGTCCACTCCCCAGAGAGGATTTTCCTGAATTCGTTTCAACTGGTTTTCCTATCCTACGAGTACATACACACGAGTGTCACGAACGAAATGTATCTTCGTGGAACAATATTTTCGTTTCCCTGTCGCGTGATCTGTGTCTGGACTGTTTGGCGGGATATACCTCCGAAAGGGAAAACATACACCATGTATTATTACCGTCGAATCGGGTTTCATTCGGCCAGATTCGACTCGAACTCAAAACTCGTTCCCTCGCAAATCCTCTGCCGGATGTTTCTAAGGTTTCGGTGCAAAGGCTGCCACGGAAGAGTATTTCTCATTGGCTCTACGAAACGTGTGTTCACATCTTTCTTTCTCTTTTTTTCGTACGTTCCACTACACCCTCTACGCTCTAATCAAATTTCTCCTTTTTCAACGAACTTGATGAACTCTGTTGCGTCCCGAGACAACCGACATTGACTTCGCGACACGATCTTTGTCTCCCTTCGCGAACATTCGACGTGCGTATTATTTGGTCCAAGAGTGAGACGCGAGAAACTCGTTAAAACGAAGTTACGAGAGATTCCAGGATACGCAGAGGGATGAAATAGGCGCAGAGAAGAAAAGGGTGAACGTGGAAGCGAGGCGATAGTGGAAGAAGGA